CTCTACTTCAAAGTGTTTAATTTGATCCTTCAAAAGCTCACTTCGTTTCGGTTTGAGTTTCATGATGATTTACATATTTTATTGAATTAAATAGTAATTGATTTAGGAGGGCGCTTTAAGCTGGCATTCCCCACACCTTGGCACTAGCAGCAGTTTTCCAGCTGGTCCTCTATGCCACTTTGCTGGAAAGTCCCCTTGTCTCCTGTGTGTTAATTTCTTTAACAGTTTCTCGTTCTTCGTTTTATGCGTTTTGACGCGTCACCTCCAAGCAGGGAAGCTTCCTCCCCTGCCTCCCCTACTCACCTCGTAAACCGTTGGACAGGGAATTTTTATCTTTTAATTAAAAGTGATGCGACTCCCCCTTGCCGCATTTTCCAGGGGGAAAACCGACTCCCGACTGGCCCACTTTTGCACCTTCTCGCATGTAGGTGGGCATTAATTAAGCACTTTACGATTGTCTTCCATGTGGAGCAGGAGAAGAGCTCCAGGATGGGAATGCGAACCAGGAACAGAAACATAACCAGAGCCTCGTCGGCAATTTTGTTTTATTCGGCGACTCTAGTATATATATGTAATAAAATAAATTATATGTTCTTCAAGTGGCCCAGGGCGCTTGGCGGCAGCTGCTTTTCACTCATTTTGTGCAATTAACTTGGTCAGAAGCGGCGGCAAAGGGGCTTCTTGGGGATCATTAGGGTTCAGTCAAGAGGCTAATTGACTTTGAGCTGCTTTTGGCCTTCTTTTGGGTGCACATTTCCAATGGGCGAAATAATCAGATAATAAACCGTTTCATTAGCGAAGGAAAAGCATGATATAGAAGCTATATCTACTATGTGCCAGCTCATTTGTGGATTTATTATTTTTCGGCATTATTCACTCGGTCGGCTCTGTTATTGTTTTCCTTTCCAGTTTCCACTTTTGCATATAAATTGCCTTACTTTGAATACAACGTGGCAGAGTGGCATTATTAGGCGACATTAAACTGTAATATATCAGGATTAATTTGATTTAAAGGGGTGTAAAGGAGAGATCCCAAAGAGAGTTCAACTTCTACCCACCATAATTCTGTCTGTCAACGATTTTACTCGTGCTAAAAATAACCTAATAGAAATATGCATATACTTATTAATTGGTAAATGCTAATAAAATATAAATCTTGAATTTATAGTTCTCATCAGATTTTTGCATATATTTCTGACTTGCCCAAGTCCCTCGATCAGGAATTTAAATTGCGGCTAAAAATAACTTAATAGCTATATATCAGTTTAATTATTTGTTTATTGGAGCAGTCGTTCATCTACGAACATATATATATAGCTACATCTGTATCTGTGTCGTAAATAATCAACTAATTTCTGTCTTTCTTTTGCATTCTCTTTGCAGGTAAGCAATACCCCCCTTCCAGGCCCAGGCTGTAGTAAGTTTGCCTTTCATTCATCTAAACAAAGAACCGTTCATGCACTCCTCCGAGTGCGAGACTCCAACTCGATTCCACGGACCGATCAGATGGATATAACCAGAACTAGCTATACACATTTCTGCTGGCCAAGTTAACACACAGCTGGGGGCAGAGAGAGCAGAGCGAGTCGTTTCGAAAATAACACACAGATACTGGCGCAGTGCATATAGCCAGCGGATCGGGTGTGTCTGTGAGTGTGCATGAACAAGCAGTTATAAATAATTTCTGGCAAAAAATCAGCAACTTTTTCCGTTGATCTCCAAGTATAGAGCGTTGGCTGGGTGCCAAAGCGAATTGCGCATACGCCGTGTGGTCCATTCCTATTTCGCTGCCAGAGTGTGTGTAACCGAATTGGAATATGTGTGTGCGTGTGTATATGATTGTGGTTTTTCTCTCCCTAATATTCTCTCTGGAGAAACATCTCTTTGGATAGTTTTTTTCAAACTTAAGGGAGGGATCACGAAGACTTCTCTTCTGTTTGGTGGTTTATTTTGATAGTCCACCAGTTTTCCTTCAGCCAGCTGAAAGGTCAGGGAAGTGGGTGGTCCAGGGGGTGGCTGAAAAACACCATCACCTCCTCCCAGCCCCCCTTCAGCTGTCCACGCTGCCAAATTGTTTGTCAGCTTCTCACATTTTCACATCGCATTTTCATCACATTTGTTTTTCTTCGCGCCGCGGCTGCTGATTTTCTTGGTGATTCTGTTGTGGCATGGCTCATTAATTTGCGTCTAATTAGTTTTGATTTTCGTTTGTCAATTGGGTGGAACAAGGACCCGTTTTCCTTTTCCCTTCTGCCTTCTGCCTTCTCCGCATCGCTTTCCTCAGCTGACTTGACTTTGGCAAAGAACTTGTCGCTGCACAGATCAAAGTGGGCAGACGAATGACACAAAATAAATATTAAATAAATATTAAATAAATACTGCGAGTTGTTGTCCGCTTTCCCCATAAAGCCAAACAGTCGTTGTGATTTTCCCGCATTTCCCTCTCTTCTGAATGCTTTCCCGACCTTCGACAGCTGTCGGCCAATGCCAAGTGAAAAATGGACTGTCGGCTGCCTTAAGCGATTTCCGATGCCAGATCTCGCCGTAAATCCAACTCGGATTTGCCTCTGCCTTCCAGATATTATTTATGTGATTTTTAATTTTAACATTTTTTATTATTTTTATCGGTTGAAGTGTTGGTCTTCCCATACTGTCATATTTTATGCGGTTTTTCAAATAGAAATTGCAAAAAGTGATTGCAAAAATAAGCAAGGAAAATATATTTCTTCCTCTGTACGTTTTCCCGCATCAATTTCCCATTCATTTCGTTTCATTTGTTGACCAAATTTGGTCAAGGCGCAGTCCATTGTAATGCAATAAAATTCAGCAAACGAGACCAGCGACAATAACAATAACAAAAATCCATTTCGGTGGCATTTCAGCCTGCAAAACGCCCTCCTCCCCTCCACCAGTAGCCTTTGTTTTTGTTGCCCATCATGTCCGTTGGTCTTCTGAAAGCTCAGACATCTTGGCATGCAATAAAAACAAACCCCAGTTGGAAAAGGGAAGAGCAGCAAAAATGCAGCGGCCCCAGGAAAATTCCTGGGTGGAGGCAGGGGGCGGCGCAAGCTTGTTGCATACAAGGGAAATGGGCAAGGCAGATGGGGAAGGGGGGTCAGCTTTTCTTTGCATTCTGGACGAGAGCCAAAAGTTTTGTCCGAGGACCCAGCCAGTGACATGACAAGCGCTGTCCCGCTCCTTTCAGCTAAATGGCCGAGATAATGTATTCATTTCTCCTCATGCCAATTGCCCGATGCCATTTAACACTTCCTCGAGGGGCCGCAAAGTGGAAATGGGAACGTTAATGGACTGGTCACTCAGTTCGCCAAAATGGACGGGCCCAGGGGGTTAAGTTAGCCGGGTCAAGAGGAGGGGGCTAACCTCAATTATGGATGCTGAGAAAGAATACAAGATGATCCTGCTTGATGACTGCATCACCAATTAGATGCAGCCTCTTTGTTTCAGTGTTAAATATTTAAAGGAATTTTAAACCAGTGCCTAAGAGGCATCATCTTCGAGTTGATTTCTTTATTAATTGGTTTAACTTACCATCAGACTCTCCCCCCTGTTGCCCGCCCAAGCCAAACTGCAAGTCTTCTTTCGCCAAAGAACATTTATTTGCTTTACTCAATTTATTTCGATTTTCGATTTGATTTCCTCGATTTGATTCAGATCTAGCTACAAGTTCGATACAAGTTCAGGGTGAAATTATGTTTCTGGGCTCTGCTTAGCACTTACCGACCGACGACTATAACTATTATTGTTCGAATGTATATATCATATATCTAGTTATGTATAGTGGAGTATATAACCGTACTCGTAAAATGTTCCTCTATAATAGATTTTCTTTTAATTGTAAAACTTTATAATTTTCGATTAATACATTTTGATTCTCCTTCGATTTGGGTGTGTGTGGTGTGTGTGAGTCTGTGTGGCTTTCCAGTTTAAATTTCAATTTGAAATTTAGCGCAGCCCCTCGAAAACTCTGGGCAAACTTGGCCCACATCCGCTTAGAGGGCTCTGAGCGTTTGATGAAACTTTAATTTCCATTTGGACACACTGACAGCAATCAAGTTAAACCGCCCCGGCAAGAGTTAAATGCCCGGCCACACCCACCGTCCACCACCCCCCTTCCGGACCCATTGTAAAGTTTCAATGCTCGCTTTTGCAACGGGGTCAAGTGTGTGTATGCCCCTCGAGGACTCAAGTGCTGGGGCTCAAAAGAAAACAATAAAACGCGCTTGGCGTGCCAAAAAAGAAAAACAACCGAAAAATATGAAAGCGCTACAAAAAAAAAAAAGAAAAGCAGGAAAAGTGTGGAAAGAAAAACAGGCATTGAACAAAAAGCAACCCAAAAAGGCTGAAACACAGCCGCCTCGAGTGCGGCTAGAAATCGATGGAAAATAAAGTACTAAAGCCCGCCCCCAACACTTTCCACTTGCCCGGAATGAAAACGCCCATTTAAAGCCGGAAAGTAGGCAATGAAAACTTTAAGCGAAAATATCTCGGTGTCACATTCAATTAATTACTTTAACAACAGAATGTGAATTAATTTTATATACTGTTGGAAAATCCCTGGCAAAAAAAAACAGTATAATGAAAGACAAACAACGGCGGGGGGGTGGCAGCAAAAGTGTTCGATGGGAAAATGCAAAAAATTATGAAATTAATTTGTGCTTTTTACACTTTTCCTTTAGTGCGGGGAAACTCCACTGGATTCCTTTGCCCCGGCTGCTGGAGATTTTCCAGTGGTTTTTCCTTGCCTCTACCTTGTCGCTGGGGAAAACTTTCTTTGTATGTGCAGAGTAAAAAAAAATAAAAGAAAAAACAAATCAAAACTTTAATTAAATCTTAGAATATTCATAGAAATATTAAATATCAATACGAATTCTAATCTTTTGATATGAAGAATAACTGCTGACCAGCTGAAATTATAACACCCTACCAAGTGCTATTTTCTCGCAGTGTAGGTATGTGTTTCAGTGGTTCCCGTGTGTAGTGGTGTGTGGTGCGTATTGTGCACTCCCAAGACTACCGTTACTAATTAGCGCGCAACCTAGTTTAACAGTTCTTCGAGGGTTTATCTTCCTCCTGCGGTGATCTCTCCGTTCCTCCCCCATTTCCCCTCTTCCCCCTTCCCCCCTCATTCCCCTTGGCTTTTCCTACTTTTCTCACTCAACTGAGAGTTGAACCTAGTAGTTGAGTTCCCTTTCTTATTAAACGGCAACCACCACGGCTTGACTTGTAGCCTTTGCTTTTGCAGCATCTTCATTCTCCAACCTCCTTTCCTGCCTCAAGGGTGCACAGGGAGAAAACTCGTGTTAAATGGCTATTGTTTGGCCTTAAGCTAGCTTCAACTTCAATACATTTTGGTTATCATTTCGGAGTCTAGCTAAGATGTAAAAATAACGTTGAATCGATGGCCGATGCAGTCTCCTTGCTAGACAAATATGCTTTATTACTAGTGGCTATCATTACTTTAAATACTTTCTATTTTTGTCCGTTAATGACTGTACTTTTGAGTTCCGTTCTTAAATTGAACGAATCGCTATTGAAACATTATTCTCTGTGTTCGTGTGGGTGGTGCTGTCTCCGCTCTAGACAAATATAATTTCATTGCGCTCCGGCTTGTGGGGCGACGGCTGGCGCTGGAACGCGTAAACGTTGACGATTAACTGCGCCATGAAAATGAAGCAAAATAAAACGATTAGAACTAAATACAGAAAGATATCGCGCAGCATCGCTGGGATGGGCTTTTCCAGGGGTTTTCACTCGGGCAGAGGCCAAAGCTCCAGACTCCGGCAGACTCCAGATGTCATGGCTCCTGGGCTGCTTTTCCCGCTGTTGCTTTTCCGGCTGCCCCTCGTCTCATTGCCTCATTACGGCCGTGCAAATGGGAAATGGAAAATCCGGAGGTAGCGGTGGCGGGGCGATTATGTGGGACCAGCTGCAATGAAAAGCAGAACGGGGAATCGTGAGTGAAGAGCAGATGGAAATAACGCGCAGATTATTCATATCCCTCCATCACGCACGTCTGCGAAAAAAAAACAGAGAAAACCCAGAGTCAGAAACAGAAAAAGAAGCCCCACAAGATGGAAACATATCATGAATGAGTGACAAGTTGGAGTACCAAAACTACAGATACTCTTCTTGCTAAGTTTAATTTGGTTTTCTAATTAAATAAGTTTCCAAAATCTGAAGGATTAACTCCCAATCTGACTTAAACATTAAAGAAATATCTGCAGCTTCATTCCCCTGGGAAATAAATAAAAACATATATTAAATGCAGCGTATTCAGAGCAGAGACTTATCAGAATTACAGCAACAAGGTTACAAAAAAAGAGAATCTCAGCAAAAGATAAAGAAGGAGCCGTGGACAAAGGATTATCTCTGGTCGACGACGAAGAATCCGTTGCCAGGACTCTGTTCGTCCTTCTCCCTGGCGAATTTCATGCTGGTCTCAATCTTTCCTTTTCGCCCAGTTGCCTTCTGGCAACACGAAAACTTCTCGCCCCACATTTTCCCACCCGCGACTTCTGCGACACAGGGAACAGAACACAAATTACGCATACGCCGCGTGGGCCGTAGGAAATAAGAGACCGAAGGGGGAGCTTGTATGAAAGATGCAGCTGCCGGGATTCAAGGATGTGTTGCACAATTGCATTTCTCGCTGCCAGATGCCACTGATGTTTTTGCCCCCTTTGTTGCGCATTTGCTGGGCATGTTGCCCAATATGTTGGCCAAAACGGAGTGGAAGAAGGGCTCGAAATGGAATTACGTGGCAAGGAAATTAAACAAATGAAATTTAAACCGAGCGAGAGCTGAACAGCTACAAAGCGAACTAGATTTCCAGATTTAAATCAGAGTACGAGGCAGTCGGGCCTTCCACATGAGCAACATGTGCTCGGAATGCATGCCACTCGACCTGACCCTTTGACGTGCCCCTCGAAATTCCCCTCTCGAAAGCCTTCCGCCTGCATTCTCAGCTTCCACTCGAATCCACTCGAAAGGCTCTCAATTAGTGGGGGAATAATTTAAGCCAAATTGCATTCGGTTTGGCAAAAAACGAACTAGATTTCCGAGAATAATTCAGCAAAAAACGCCCACAAGCACCTGAAATAATTGAAGTATTTGATACGGATTTGATCTCTGCTCTTCGGAATGGCTTAATTGGTCAATGTTTTTGATATATATCGTAGAGATATGAAATATTTTAAAATTAATTAGTGGATGGGTGGAAGATATTCCCAAAAAACACAACACTGGACTCCTCGTTCGACATATTTTGATATTAATTAAATATTTCTAAAATGTAATCCTTACAAGCACCCACTAAAATCTCTCATCCTCGAAGCTTTTGATGAAATTTATATCAAGTACTGTGGCCAAACTCATTATATTTTCCCTCCGTGTAAGCGAATGCTTCACAGCTCCAGCTTGAATTCAAAAAAGTGCATGCGGTCATGAGTTTTTGAGCTGCACTCGTGGATTAAAATGCAAACTGCCAACTGCAATGAGCAGGCATCCGGCGACCTGGAACGGACATCGCAGTTGGAATCCCTTTGGCGAACCGAAAATCAAGGGTCGCTTTCAATTAAACGCTTATCGCAGTCCCGGCACTCGCTGAATAACTTCTGACCCTCGACCCCGGCCCGTGTCGTTAGTCCTTGGTCCTATGTCCTAGCCCTGCACTCCCCCGAAAGAAGAAAAACAATTTTTAAAAGGACGCTGCCACATTCCATGGCTCGCACATCATTAGGCCGACTTTCGGCTTTCGAAAGAGTGTTGTGGATGGGGGCGGTGGGGACTTGAAACAAAGCGAAGCGCATCAAAGATTATGAAACTCATTAAAAAAGTTTCGGCGGGGGCAACAAATCTAACAAGCTGAGGAATGTGACGCAGCTGCCACGCCCCCATCACTTAAGGTCAGCAGGAAAATGGAACAGAAAAGAAAAGGGCCTGGGGGTGGGGAATCAAGTGGGCAAGTGGTGGCAAATGGCCAATGGGATTTGCTTCTTCCTTAAGCTCTTTATTTTTAACCTTCTGTCGGGGAAAAGTGAAAGTAATATCCAGGCAAAGAGCTCACTGTTAGTAAAGGCAAACTCTTGTTCAAAAAACGATTTGATAATCGATTGAATTTCAAACTTAAAATGTTTTACATTTTAATAAAATGTTTCAATTTTCGAAAGTTAACTTTAAAGGATATTTCATTTAACAACTTTCCATATTAAAATCCATCATCCAAACTTTGCTGCTCGGCCACAGCTATTAAACTATTAAACTTGTTCAACAGCACTATTATCTTAGTCGCAGTTGTCCGGGGCGGTAGTAAATAAAGGCAAACGACTACGTGATACCCCCTAATAAACGGGTCCCTTGGGAGCAGAGGTACGGCAGCCTGTTGCTTGAAGGGGGAATGGGTGCCGCCGCTGGATTTGGGAGCGCTTCATAAATTAGATGTCAAAGCCGAAGGATCAGACACCCGTGGCAACGTGGCAGCTTGGCAACACGCACACGTGTGCGCGTGTGTGCGTTTGTGGAAAAGGGTCAAAGGTTGTCAAAGGAGTCGGGCAAGGAATTTGTGCCGCTGGCAAAAGTTTGCGGCGCCTGGCAAACTTATTAAAGAGTTCGAAGCCAAACAAATTGGCAAGGCGAAAAAGGGAAAAAGGGAAAAAGGGAAAACTTGCCAAGCCATTGCGGCCATTAATTTTCACTGGCGGCGCACACGAAATGCAAATGAAACTTTTCGCCGGAATGTTGACAGTCAGTCAGTCAGTCAGTCAGTCAGCCAGGGAGTCAGGGAGTCAGTGCGCCGGGAGGGGCCACAAAAGTCAATGAAGTGTTAAATGTCCTGCGGTGTTCCAGGGGTTATCCTTACACTCAAACACACAAACACACACATAGACTAATACACGTGTCAAATTTCCTGCGGGCTTCCATTTGCATTTCTGCGTGCTTGGCTTCCATAAATGCCCACATCAAAGTGGCAAGTTTTCGCAGTCATATAATTAAAGCAACAATGCCAGCCAAACCCGCGGCATAAATCAGCAGAAGTATCCTCCGCATCTGCCAGCTTCATTCATAAGTTCCTTGCTGGGATTCCATTCATGGACAAATACTCTGGGCTCACGCACTTTTATGAGACACATTCCCCCCCTTTCCATTACACCCCCCACCACCCCCAAAAAAAAAGGATATACACGTTACCAATTTATGCTGAGCCGCTCGTAAACTGCCCAAAAAGGCAACAAAAAATTCCACTAACGAGCCAAGTCGGTAAACTCTTTTTCCTTTTTATATTCGCTGCTTTTTTTCTGGTATCACTTCACTTGCAGTTCTTTTCGGTTCAACGCGGCGTATGCGTTATATTTCGTTGTTTGAGTTCCGCCTCTCGCTTTTCCCCGTTCAAAGTCTTTCTTTCGGTGCTTTCAGTTCGACGTTGCTGACGCGACTCCGGGTCTCGTCTGATGGAAGCCGCTTCTTATAGCAGTTCGTGCAGCTCCTGCTTCGTCCTGGGCCCGACGAGCCTTCACCAGTTGAGCCTCGCCTCGGCCGGCCACTCGGCCGTCGGGCTCGTGCTTCGGGCCGGAAATTGTTGTTCAACAAATGCAAAGAGTTTCCCAGTCAACAGGCAGAAAATCAAGAAACAAGTGGCATGGGCGGCGGCGGAGGCACTGCACATCCTGGCACATCCTTGTGGAATCGCTGGCATCCACTGAATGGTGATCTTATCAAAGTTGCACTGCCAAATTGCTGGCTTAAGAGGATGATTTCCAAGGCGGAATATAAAGCATTTTCATACAATAGCTTGAAAGGCTTTTCAGTTTTAGTTTAAATCCTTTTCAATTTCGTTTCTTTTTGATTAGTCTTTAGCCTAGCTATTAAAATCAATAACATTTTATGGACTAGCCACAAAAATCGGTTTCTGACCTAAAATGTTATTAAAAAGTATCAACATTTAATAGACTTACACATTGAAATATTCCATCATCCTCTCGACTCCATCCTCCGAGGTTTTCCCCATCATCTAATCGGTTCTATCCCATCGATCTGACCGGGCCTGCCCCAACTTGGCCCCCAAACCTGCCTCGAACCACAGAAATTTCTTGTTTGCACCGCCTTCCGCCCTGTCATGTTTATATTTTCAGCCGCATCATAAGGCAAACATTTTAATTTGGCATAGCCTGTAGAGCCACGCCCCCCGCAACAGCACCGCCCACGCACAGGAGGCGCACAAATATTGACACTCAACTAAGCCGGCAGGCAAACGCTGACCAAAATCAACGTTGACACCCCATACATCTTTCTGCAGATCCCTCGCTGATGACGCCAATCATGTTCATCCTCGAAGGGAAAGGGAAGCGGGCTTTCCCTGCCGTCAGTTGGCGTGACAAGCAAGACTTTAGACTTACAGGAAGCAGATAGAGAGGGAGAGGGGGCAGAGGCAGGCTGAGCAGACATCGGCACAGTTTGTTATTATTTAAATCAGGAAGTCGACGAAATTTCCTGTGCCAGTGGGGCATGGCCAACAAATTGGCAGCTGACTTCCGCAGTCGAGTCAATTAAATTTTCCCTTTAAGTGATTTCTGTCGCCATCAAATGTCGCAGCTTCCCCTCGACTCCTTTTCCCGGAATTTCCCGGGTTTTCCCTTGATTTCCTTCCCCCCTTGCCCTCCTCTAATGAGAAATCGATGTGCCGTAATTTGTTCAAATCCAATTTCGGAGTACGGCCGTGGCTGTAACCATAGTCCGGAGTCCAAAGTCCGGACAAAACACCTGGCCCCCAATCGTCACGGGATCCTGCGGGTGCACTGAGAAAAAAACTACAAAATTCTGTAACAAAAACTGTGACTAAAATGAGAATCAACAAGTTTTTACTAATAATAATCAGGATAGAAAACTTTGTTTTGCTTTTTAATTTATGATACTATCCTGGACATATCAGGATCAACATTTTTTCCAGTGCAGTTTGAGGGCTCCTTTTAATGAGTTTTTATTGCGCTTCAGGTGCTTTGATTGCTGCGATTTTTAACTTGATTTACGCGAGTTTAGTAAGCAGGTGCGCGGGGGTGGAGCGGGGGCCCACTATTGATTTTTCAATTAAGCCGGACCCCCCTCTATGAAGAACACCCCTGCCCCTCGTGTACAAGCCAATGCATTTTGCATGTTTTTCGCGTGTTGCCAACATTTGTTTTGTGAGAAAGCCGCCGAGGAAGGACTGTCTTTTGTAGCAAGTTTTATGCGCCGCATCCTGTGCACAAAAACCAAAGGGAGGGGATGTAATTTAAGAGGGGGTTCCACTGTAGGCGGGGCCGACTGTTGTAGGGGGAGGGAGAATACCGCGTTGTAGCGCAATTTATGCGGTAATTGCTTTTTTAAGCGCTTCGCATTTATCTTTTCGACACAAGTGAAATGAGTTTCTGCCTCCTTTGCGTGCCTTTTGTCGATTTGCCACAGCGCAGCAGTAACAGCAACAACAACAAGGATAACAGCCTGCAAGGATATCAGCAACAACAACAACTAGCAGTGGCAACAACAAAAGCAGAAACCGCCTGTCACAATGCCGACAAAAGCCAAAAAAAGAAAGCTCAACTACTTACAATGGCATTTTTATGACGTCTTCTATTTGTCTGCGCATCACGTCTTGCCCTCGCTGCCCCGCCCCCTGACCCCTCTACACTGCAGGAATATTAGTAATTTCAGTTTGATCTAAATATAACTTTTGACCATACATTTATTTACTCTCCAGATTTGTAATACCTAATATCTTTAATAGTCTCCCTTTATAAAGATTGAGTTGGGAGATTTTACAGTATATATCATATTCAATTCAGCATAAATTGAATATATATCTAAGAAACTTTTATTCCTGTGTAGTGAACCCACGTCCGCTTTTTTTTCATTCGAAAAGTATGCAGCATCTCCTGTTGTTATTGTTGTTTATGGAAATGCCGCGAAAGTTTTCCCCCGTCCTTTGATCGCCCTCTAGCCCACCCTTCGCCCATCACCCTAATTAATTTAACGCAATTCGCTCAAAAATTACACAAGAAAAGTTGATAAAATGAAACGAGCATGAAAATGATATGCAGGACGGAAAATGGCCGCATCTGGATTCTTGGGACCAGCCGCTTGATTTATGGCGTGCATTCTGCTTAATTTTAATTTTATGTTGTGCCCATAAAATTACCCGTATGGAAAATTTGTCATTTTAGGCTGAAACGCAATTGGGCTTACTGGGGGCACAGGTAATGGGTTTTTTTCTAGCCTAGGTTGAACTCAAGTTTATGATTTCCAATTATTTCTTTTATTAATGGGAAAAAGATCTATGAAATAAATGATTGGTGACCAGATTATATTCCCTTAAGTATTTGAGATAAAATTTTACAACTTCGTTGTAATTCATTGGTTTTACACGATCATATTGTATAAAATCGTGTTACACATTATTAACTCTAATTGGAAAATTTTTTGAAACTTCCAATGGCTTTAAAAACTTCGCGCTCATTACCAAGGTGTAGCTCTCAAACTGTAAACTCCAGATCGATCAACTCTCCCACAAAAAATGTTTCAATGAAAAATACTTTGAAAAGAAATGAAACTGTAGGTAGAATTTTGCCTAAGTTAAAAAATAGTATTTACCTCCGATTTATACTATTATTTGTAATATAAGTTATATTTGTTTCGAACAATTATCGATAACAATCACCAGCTCAATGGCCCGCAATCGTTATCGCTGGCTTAATTCCAGAGGTATTTTCGAAATGCGGTAACACTGTTTCTCTCGGCAGTTATTTTCTCACGTAGCGCAACGGTCACCCTTAAATATACCCACTATTTAGCAAAATAAAGTTGTTCGTCAGTTAGCACTTAACTAGTAACAATTAAACAATTGCGCTGGCTGCAAATTGTTGTTGTGATTCGGGAGTTTAGAATATTCCAGAAAACACGCATGTTTCTGTCAATAAAAGTGCTTTCTTAGCGGTTTTTCGTGTGTCACGCCCAAAAAAGAAATCAAAGGCAACAAAGTTCTAGTGCGTGTCAAAAAACCAAAAACAGTGCAATAACAACAACCAAGACCAGCTAACGGTGAACAAAACGCTCAAACATAAACCACAAAAACAACAATAAACAGCAGCAACAATGGAGGTTAGTACTCTTGTAGTTGTTGTTGCCGCTCAAGTGTTTAAATTGTTTTTTCATTGATGTGTTTTTTCTTCTTTTTTCGGGTTGTTTGCCTTGAATGATTTCATTTCATTAATTTATTTTGTTTGCTAGTTTTCCTCTCTCTCCCTCTCTTTGCCGAACGATTACGTCAGTTTTTGCTCTCTCGCTCTCTTGAGTTCTGGAGTTTGCGCTCTTTTTCTCTCTTCGTCATCAAATATTTTTGACATTCAACCCCTTTGCCGCCTCGCTCCCCTTAATTATTGATTCCCCCTCCCATTAATTAATTCACAAATTTAATAGCTCCTATTATGTCATCGCTTTCTTTTCTGTGTGCCTTTTGTTTTGTGTCCGAATTTTGGCATATTTAGCATTTTTATATAATATCGGACTAAACGCCCTTATCGCTCTGAAACAGCTGTTTTATATTCGTTTACCGCTATGTCGAGACCTTATCTGCCATATCGAGTTACTCATTCCCCAGCAATGACGTTATGAGATATCAACTTTCCACCTTTAAGATTGCCAGCCCTTTGAAGGCTTACTAGCAGAGATTAGCCTAATATTTGGTCAGATACTATATCTTGAAACAGTCACAAACTCTTTACTCTTATAGTCTGTTTTTGTATCTTTAATCAGCCAAAAAATCCAAATACTTGATAGAGGTGTAGTCACGACCAACAAATGTTGATTAAATTCGGTTCTGTTCTTAGTCTTACCTGAATTTATTTTTAACTATAGGACCACCTTAATAATAAGCTCTGAAGAAAAGATATTCCCAAAATATCTTACAAATTGTTAACCCTTTTATCACATCAAAAGGGTTCTAATAAAACACAAAGCCGCGCCCTAAGCCCTCTTTAAACTAAGTTACAGGTATAAAAGCTGTTAATTAAACTGAAAACTGTGGCTTTAAATACAGAGGATTAGATTTGATAGGCAGGCGTAACATTCCGTGGTCGGCTTATAAATTTGTGATTTCCCTAATTAAGATTTCCCCTTGAACGTCGGTCCTTTAACGTGGGATAATCCCAGTTCTCATTTTCCCCCAATTAAGTTTTCCTTGGAACCCTTTAGCCCTTTTTTTTATAGAACATATATAAACCGGAAGAAAATCCGCGGGGGCGTCAAAAGCGCATTTAACATCGTTGAGCTGAGTAATTAATCGCCTTTCCTCTGCTTCGGCGTTTACTTTGGCGGACGGATGGACAGCCATCAAAGCAGACATGAAAAGATTTTTCCCAGCCCCGTAATAGGGGCACAAATACAAAAAGTACA